CCAGACCAGAGCCTTATAGAACTGCCAATCCACTAAGAATCAGAACCAGGGAGATGTGTATGGTTTGGGGGACAGGATTCAATCTATGACAAGGTGTCATCTGGGTACCCCACTCTCAATTGCTGAATGAATGAATGAGTGGGTGAGGGAATGCACCCCACTGCAGGGTTGCTGTGGGGCGGAGTGCAGGCCAGCTCCTTCCAGATGGGGTGTGGAGGCTGGGGTTGGGGACAGGAGGTTAACACCCCCACCTGCCACCCACACAGTCTCAGCTCTCTGATGCTTGCTTCTCAAGTCAGTCACCATGGCAACAGCATGTCTGAGCAGAGCCCTGAGAGGCAGCCAGACAGGAGGTTAACCCTGTGAGTGCCAGCCGGTGGGGTTGGGAGGGGAGCAGAGGATGCTCCGGACACCCCTCCCCCCAGTGTCTGCAGCACCGGCTTCATCCCATGTGGGCCCACAGGAGGGGGATGGGTCAGTGTGAGGACGTTTCAGGTGCCAACCCCGCTCCAGCTCCACTCCCTCAGGTGACTCTGGGAGACTTGATGATGAGGGCAGGGCTGGGAACCAAGTCCAGTTAAGGAGGACTTGAATGAACTACCCTACAGGCAGGAGAGGGCAAAAGAGGGCAGTAATGGAGGGAGGGAGAGACAGGAAGGGGCAAGAGAGACACAGGGGTGGAGGGACAGGAGAGGTCAGAAGGTGAGGGAGGGAAGGGAGGGGACAGGAGTAATCAGGAGGGGAGGGGGAGACAGGAGGATATAGGGGTGGAGGAACAGAAGAGGTCAGAAGGGGAGGGAGGGAAGGGAGGGGACAGGAGTAATCAGGAGGGAAGGGGGAGACAGGAGGATGTAGGGGTGGAGGGGACAGAAGAGGTCAGGAAGGGAGGGGAGGAGACAGGAGGGCGGGATGGGCAGCTTGTGGTCAATGTTGGGCCTCAGAGCACCGAATGGCTCCTGTGTTCTTGGGGGCAGAGGCTACCAGGGAATCTCTGGTGAGACCCTTGGAATTGAGACTGGACTTCATGGAACCCTTTATAACTACAGGTCCCAGCCCCTCACTCAGGGCCCCTAGGGCTGGAGAGATTTTGGAGTGCAGAACTGTGTCCTGCAGGGAACAGATGGCTCCCTGGAAAGGGGCTAATTTGAGAGAGGTGGCCAACACATACAGGCTGGGCATGGGGACCAGAGGGGAGGCTGCTGGAGGAGCAGGGGCCATTGCATGGGGACACCCTAGCCTGAGGCAGCCCCTAGGAAGGACCTGGGATAACCTCTCATCTCCATTCTCCCTCCACATGCCCCACCAGGACCCCCATTGCATTACCTGGGCAGATGCTAAGAGGTAGAGGCCAGTGCCTGGTTTGTGGGGACATCTCTGGGCAGGGCAGGGTATAGATGGGGAAGTGGATCTTCTGGAGGCCGAGTGGGATTCTGGACATAGAAGCTTCAATTTGGGCAGGTGTTGAGGCTGCTGCGGTCCAAGCAGAGCCTTGAGCAGGTCGGACAAGACCGGCCGCCCAAGTCTGGGCAGGTCCCACTCCAGGGTTCTGATGCAGAGTGTGGGCTTGGAGGTCGCTGCACCAGGTGCTACTGATGTGACATGATGTGATTGTGATGACGGATCACACGTGTGTGCATGGTGTGTGTGCTCAGGTGTGTATGTGTGAGGCCGCTCAGTGTGGGTCACGGGTGTGCGTGTGTGTCTGCTCTGTGAAAATGTGTACACTCATGGGCCCACTCAGTCTGGATCACACGTGTGTGCACAGGCCCATTCAGTGTGGGTCATCATGTGTAGCCACCACACGTTGTTGTTGTTGTTTTTGTCATAGGTGATTCATAGTGACCCTGTGAACAAAAGTCCTCAATGCTTGTGTGGTTTTCATCCTTTCTCCAAGTTCATAGGGTTTCCAGAGGCAAGCTATTATGGAAGTAGATGCCACTCCTGCTTCCAACCTTGTTTTAATCGGGGAGATCCACCAAACACTGTCCACTATGGGTGACCATTAACCTTGTTGTTGTTATGTGCCATCGAGTCGCTTGCGACTCATAGCAACTGTATGTACAAGAGCCCTAAATACCCGTCTATCCTGTCCCAACCTCACCATCTCAAACACTCATTCCCACCACTCCACTCACAGAATCGATCCATCTCGTCGAAGGTCTTCCTCTCCTGCGCCATCCTTCTACTCTCACAAACATGATGTCCCTCTCCAAGGACCAGTCCCTCCTTGCAACATGCCCAAAGTATGTCAGACGAAGCTTCAGAATCCTTGATTCCAAGGAGCACTCTGGCTTCACCCTCTCTAGGACAAACCTGTTTGTTCTCCTAGCAGTCCATGATATATTCAACTCTTTTCCAGCACCACAGCTCAAAGGCAGCAATTCTCTTTCTATCATCCCTATTCACTGTCCAACTCTCCGATACATAGCATGTAATTGCAAAGACTATAGCCTGGATCAGGTACACCTTAGTCTCGAGCCTGACATCGTTGCTCTTCAGTACTCTTGAGAGGTCCCTCACAGCCGACTTTCCCAATGCAGTTTTGTCTCCTGATTTCCTGGCTGCTGTTACCAAGAGTGTTGACTGTGGAGCCAAGTAAATTAAAACTGTTATCTCAATCTCTTCACTATCCACAACTGATGCTGCCAATTGGCCCAGTGGTGAGAATCATTGTTTCCTTCATGTTGAGCTTCAATCCATATTGAAGACTACAGTCCTTGACCTTCTGCAGCAAGTGCTTCAGGTCCTCCTCAGTTTCAGCGAGCAGGGTGTATCGTCCGCGTAACGCAGACCATTAACGTAGTGGGCCCATATTCCTGGCCCTTTGTAGGCTGTTACTCAGAACTCAGCTTCAAGTGCATCTCTGTGTTCTCATCCCTCCTCTGAGAGGACATGAGGTGACCACTTCCAGCCCTGGGAGGTGGCCCTCTGTCTTGCTGTCTGTCTAGCATCTGCACCCTGGGACAGCTCCTTGGGCCACCTCCTGGGGGCCAGAGTGGGGCCATTTAGCCTTCATCCTCAGCCTTAGTGAGGCACTCAAAGGTAAAGTGCTGTTGAAGGATGGATGAGTGAGTAATTGAAAGAGTGAGTCAACGATTGTGTGGGTGGATGAGTGAGTGAGTGGACGAGGAAGTGGGCGGATGGGCAGGTGTGGTATGGATGGATGGGTGGGTGGATGGATAGATGAATGGGTAGGTGGGTGTGTGGTTGGATTGGTAGATGGATAGGTAGATAGATAGGTAGCTGAATGGGTGGCTGGCTGGAGGAGTGGATGGGGTGTCTATGGAAGGATAGATGGGTAAATGAGCAGATAGATGGATGGATGATAGGTGGTCAGGTGGATGGATGGATGGATGGATGGATGGGGAGATGGATAGGTGAGTTGGGGGGGTTGTATGGATAGGTGGGTGGGTGAGTGAGTGGATGAATGAATGGGGGGGTGGGTGGATGGACCTGTCAGGACTTCTGTCTTCCCTCAGTTGATAGGTAACTTGGACAGTGATTTTGGTGTTTTCTTGATCGAGATCTCTCTGAGACTTGCGAGTTAAACATTGGGCTCCTTGGTCTTGTTGGGCAGTTTATCTGTCCCCACTGTGAGAGAAAACCAGTGTTCATACTGACCCGCTACTAGCAGATCAGTCTCTGCGATCTCATGGTGGACAGAGGCCCCTCCGTGGCCGTCCAGCTCTGCACCACCATCTCCTCTGGGGTTCTGGCTGGACTGGCCCCCCCTCATTCCTGCCCCAGCCTTGTGCTCCCAGGTTCACTTAGCTCAGTCTGTCTGTGCTCAGGTTGGCGTCTTGGGGCCCATTCACAAGTGTCCTCTTCTGGAGTATCCTGAAGATCTTAATGTCCTCTCTCTGTCCCTGGGGGATCCTGGGATGCCTTGTGTGTCCCCTATCTGTCCCTATATCTCCTTCTTCTACACCTTCCTGAACCTGCTGGTCAGTGCCCTGGGCGTCTCTGAGTGTCTCCCATCTGTCCCTACAGCTCCTTTTTCTACGCCTTCCTGAACCTGCTGGTCAGTGCCCTGGGCGTCTCTGAGTGTCTCCCATCTGTCCCTACAGCTCCTTTTTCTACGCCTTCCTGAACCTGCTGGTCAGCGCCCTCGTGGTCTTCTTGGTTTTCATCGCCAGCACCATCGTGAGCGTGGGCTTCACCATGTGGTGTGATGCCATCACTGAGAAGGGCACCACACCGCACAGGTGGGCCAGCCCCAGCCTGAAGACCACCCTTGGCCCTACTCGTGGCTTGCAGTGTTGTCCCACAGCCTGGCCAGCCCACCCTGCACCCCCTGCCCCTGTCCAGTGTCCCTGGCCCTGTCTGACCCCCAGCCTGGCCAACCTTTCCTGTATCTCCTGTCCAGTGTCCCTGGTCCTGTCTGACCCCCAGCCTGGCTAACCCTCCCTGCACCCCCTGCCCCTGTCCAGTGTCCCTGGCTCTGTCCGCCCCCCAGCCTGGCCAGCCCTCCCTGCACCCCCGCCCCTTTCCAGTGGGCCTGGCCCTGTTCCAGATGTGGAAGCTGTACCATCAGTGTAGCAGTGAGCCCGAGGGGTGGACGTATGGGAGGGGCTGGCCATCAGTTTTCAGAGGTCCCCAACATTGCACCATGTGCTGAATGTCAAGATCCCCACAGACATCCAAATGGCCAAGATGCTGGCCTTAGGGGCCTGTCCACTGCTTGGTGACAGCCTTTCCCATTAGTGAATGACACAGATGCTGAGGGCTGCTCCTGGGCCAGGCTGCTGTCTCCTCCAGTGCTGGCGGTCATCACCACTGATGTTGTGCCTTTTTAGCTGTGAAGAGCTTCAGGACATCGACTTAGAGCTGAATGTGGACAACTCTGCCTTCTATGACCAGTACACCATCGCCCAGGTAAGTGCTGTGGACAGGTGCCCTGTGCATGCTACTGTGTGAGTGTATGTGTGTGACGCATGCTCACTAAGACCAGGATTCCATTGCCCATGTGAAGGCAATGGACAGGAGCAGCTGTGCGTGTACACAAGTATATGTGTGTACATGAGTGTGCATGTGTGTGCAGATTACTAGCTATCACCCAGGCGAAAGCTGCAGACAGGAACGCTGTGTGTACATATGTGTGTGAGTGCATGTGTGTGCATGTATGCTTGCTGTGACCAGGACACCATCAACCAGGTGAGAACTGCAGACAGGAGCACTGTGTGTGCATGTGTGTGTGTACACATGAACATATATGCAGGAGCATATGTGTGTGCATGTGAACATGTGTGCAGGAGTGTATGTGTGTGCATGTCCACTTGTTATGACCAGGACACCATCACCCAGGTGAGAGCTGCAGACAGGAGTGCTGTGTGTGCACACGTGTATATGTACACACACTACATGTGCACACATGCACTTGTGTCACTGTGTGCAGTGATAGGAGGTAGGGTAGTGCGGTTTGCAGAAAGCTGTACTGCCTAGCTCAAGGCTTCTCCTCTCTGGTGGTTCACCTCTATCAGTTGTACCTCAGGAGAGGGACGGACAGTCTCCTGTGTGGTTTACACCTCAGAAAGCCCACTGGAGGATCCTCTAGCTATGCTTCTGTTCCAACTCCATGGCAATGTGTTAAGTGAGCTGTAGTGGCCCCTTGAGGTAGTGTCAGTCAGTGGTTGTCCCCTACACCAAAGCTTCAGGCCATGCCTGAGTCAAAGATGCTTTCATGCCAATGATGGGGGGCTGCCTTTGCCCCCACTTTGTGAGGGATGCCCACACCCCTATCTTATAGGACATTCACCCCAATTTTGTGGGGCTGTTGTTGTTGTTAAGTGTCTTTGAGTCACAGACGACTCATAGCGACCCTATGAATAAAAAACCTGAACACTTGTATAACTTTCACCCTTTCTCCAAGTTCATAGAGTTTCAGGAGGCAAGCTATTTCAGAAATGGATTCCACTCCTGCTTACAAGCTTGTTTTAGTCAGGGAGCTCCACCAAACACTGTGCACCGTGGGTGACCATTATCACATTTGACACATCAGTGTCACAGTGTTCAACATCACAGCAACCACGAGTTACCTCTGTACGGCAAGTGGACAGACCAGTGACATACCATTTAGAAGAATGTTTGACCAAAACCAATTGAAACCAGGCCCGAGGGCCGTGGATTAAAATCCCCCACCTTTGGCTTCATAGCATCATTTTCAATCCACCAGGCTCACAGAACTCTCTCGTTGTTGTTGTAAAGTGCTGTTGAGTCATAGACGACTCATAGTAACCCTGTGAACGAAAGACCCAAATATCCACATTTTACAGTGTTCCCACACCTCAGTTCTGTTGAACTTCATGAACCTCAGTTTTGTGGGACAACTGCACCCCAATTTTGAGAGATTTCTTGCGTCCTCCCTGTAGGATTTGAGCGAGCAGCTGGGCCTTGTCCTGGGGCGACTCAGCTTCCTTCAGCCGACTGAGAAAAGCAGTTGAGGGTCTATTTATTATCTGGAGAGGAGGTGGGTGGAGTGGACACCCACCCAGGGAGTGTCATTGGGAAAGGACGGCTGTGTGGACAGGGCTGCCAGTGAGCCTCAGCCCCACGTCAGGCAATCAGGTGGGCAGGGTCCAGAGCAACCCTGGCCCTCCCCCAGCACCCTTTCCCCCTCAGTGTGCCCGTCCTTTCCATGAGCTGCCTGGACAGTACCTGGTGGGGACTGGGGCACGGAGCAGGGCTGTTTGCTAATTGTGACCTCTGTCCTCTGCCCTCTAGTTTGGCCTCTGGGCCTCGTGGCTGGCCTGGCTAGCCATCACTGTGCTGGCCTTCCTCAAAGTCTACCACAACTACCGTCAGGAGGATCTGCTCGACAGCCTGGTCCACGAGAAGGAGCTGCTACTGGGCCGGCCTGGGTCCCGCACCTGCCAGGAAGACAAGAGCGCCGTCATCTAGTGTCCTGCCCATGCCCCTGCCCTCCTGGGAGCAGGGACCCGACTCCCTAGACACTGAGCTTTGCATGCCCCCCTCCCGGCCCCGTGTGGGCTGCAGGTGACTCATTCCTTCAAGAGCCCGACCTTCACGTGGAAATGCAGCCGTGACTGAGATGGGCACTGGGACGGTGTTGGCGAAGCCTGGCTCCACGAGACCATCTGTCAGGGGCCCGAGATGATGCATTGTGCACATGCAGCCCCAGCCGTCCCACAGGACACACCCCTGTCTTGCAGGTTCAGACACACCAGTCTGTAGCACTGGGTTGGACTGTGGTTCTCTGGAGTCCAGTGCTGGACCCTGTGCTCATGCACCTTCTGCCCCTGCTCAGGTGTGAGGTGGCTTTGTGCCAGGTGGATTACATGCGTGATCCTGGGGACAACACTTGTATCCCCACAGTGATTCTTCACCTTTCATGTCCAGAGCTCTGGTGCCACTTGCTTCTGCATCTGGAGGCAACACTTCAAGTAGGAGAAGCTGCTTGGTGTCCCCACCTCTGATCCTTCCTCCCTGCTGGGGTTGAGTCCCTTCAGCCTCGGGCCAAGCCCCTCAGCTCCTGTACTAGGACCACTCCCCAGGTGCAGAAGCAGTGGTGTCACCTGGCACAGGGGGTGGCTGCATGCACGACTGGAGGACTGGCCGTGCAGCTGCCCCCCGTTCTCTGCCAGGGGCCTGGCTGGGAGAGGCGCCAGGGCCCCAGCGAGATGCTCTGGGTGCGTGTGCTCTGTTGCATTTGGTGTGATGTGTGGAGAGGAGACAGGCCTCTCATCCTGGAGAGGAGGGACCACACATGTGGAGTGTGAGGGCCACGTACCCATTGCAGGCTCAGGTCTGTGCACAATCGTGGGTGCATGTGTGTGACTGTGTACACGTGAGTGTGTGCATGTGTGTGATAGTGGGTGCATGTGTGCAAGTGTGTGCACTTGTGTATATGTGTACACTCATGCATGAGTAAGTGGGTACGCATGAGCATGTGCATGCATGTGACTGTAGTGAGTGTGCTCAAGCGTGTACACATGTGAGCTCCTGCCTGAGCCTTCATTGGTGCATAAGCATACATGTGGGAAGGTGTGCATGTGTGTATGTGTACACCTGTGCTTGGGCATTCACGTGTGCATGCATGTACACACATGTGTACCTCAGTGTATGCACTCACATTAATGTATACAAAGGAACTTCTGTGTGTGCACAGACATACATGTGTGTCCATGAGCATGTGTGTGCAAGAGTGCAGAAATGGACATGTGCGTTTGTGAATGCATGAGTGTGAGTGTATACATGAGTGCATGTGTGTGTCAGTATGTGGTGTGTGGGCATGCGTGTGTGTGATCACGTGTGTGTCAGTATGTGGCATGTGAATGCATGCCTGTACTCACAAGCACGTGTGTGTCAGTACATGGTGTGTGAGGGCATGTGTGTGAGCACGTGTGTGTCAGTACATGGTGTGTGGGGGCATGTGTGCACGAGCACATGTGTGTCAGTACGTGGTATGTGGGCACGTGTGTGTCAGTACATGGTGTGTGAGGCGTCTGTGTGAGTATGTGTGTGTCAGTACGTGGTGTGTGAGCACATGTGTGCCAATACGTGGTGTGTGAGGGCATGTGTGTGCATGAGCACATGTGTGCCCATGTGCATCTGAGTGCATGTGGAAGTCCACGTGGTTGTGAGTGTGTGAGCCCACGTGCCAATGTGCATGAGTGTGTTGTTAGGCGCCTTCGAGTTGGCTGTGACCCACAGCGACCCTGTGAACAACAGTTTGACCCCTTGCCCTGCCCAGCAGCATCTTCATGGTCTCTGCTTTAATATCCTCGTCTGCATTTGTGAGTGTGTTTGCATGCATTGCTCATGTGTGTGCACTTTTGTGTGTTCTGTATGTAAGTGTGCACGTGTGTCCGTGTGTGTGCATGTTCTGTGCCCCTCTCTCCTTGGGGTGCCTGTTGAGTGCCTTGCTGCCTGAGAGGAGGGCATCGTAACCCCACTTTGTAGTGTCTGCTGCACAGAGGTTCCTGGGACAGGAGGGGCTGGCTGGGACCCCAGAGCAGGTGCCCTCCCTGAGGGGCCACAGGGCTGCTGCCACACCAGATCCAGGTGCCAGCCATCCCGCCCAACCATGCACCCCAGAGCTTGCATCCCCTCCCGAGAGGGCCCTGGAAGCAGTAGGGTCAGAATGCATCCCATGGTGGGATTTACACCCCCTTTTCTCTGGGCTTCAAAGCTTGCTCCTCTAGCTCCCCATCTTTGGTGCCCCCTGTCCCTCACCCATGGCCTCTTCTGTGTCCAAGGGCAGACTGGGATTCCCAGAAGTGCCCACAGCCCAGACCTGGTCTGGACATCGGGTTGGATGGGTGTCCAGTGCAGGGTCAGGGTGGATGTCCAGGGCTGTAAGCCTGATGACACAGCTGTCAGACTCCAGAACCTGAGGCATGTCTGATGGGCTGGGTCCTGGGGACCCCAAGGCTGATGGGGTCCTGGGCTCCTTCTTGGCCCTGTCGTGTCCTGTCCCCCCTAACCTCTTGACACTGGCCCCTCTCTAGCCCAAGAGCTCTTGGTCACCTCAGGAGGCAGAGTGGCTCCTGCCAGAAACAGGCCACCTTGCTTATCTGACTAGTGCTCATTGAGACCCTTAGGAGGGTCAGGCAGGCCAGGAAGGCTGGCACTGGGTGCACCCTGGGTCTGGAGATCTGGTCTGGGCATCCACAGTCCAGTGGTCAGCAGGCACCGGTGTCCGTTGCTGTGCATGTGCCTTGCAGAGTGAGGGTGTTGCTGATACACAGCCTGTCTGTGCTGTCACCTCACCTGCTCCTGGGTCTTCCAGGAAGGGGACAGCTGGCACGGGGAGGGGTGCAGATGCCAGCAGGGGTTCCTGGGCCAATCCATGCAGCCCTCACCTGTGTTCCCGTGCCATGGCTGTGGTAACAGACCTTGTCCTTCCTCCGGCTGAGCTGAGTGCCGGTGTCTCTGAGCTTAGCTGTGCCACCGTCAAGGAAATAAACAGGCTTCTCTGAGGAGGCTGTGGCTTGTCTTTGGTTCGCCCCTGAGGGAAGCACGTGGGTCCTAGGTCTCACCTACAGCCCTCACCTTGGCCTCGGCCTCCGTGGGCACGCTCTGTGTGCATGTCTGGGTGGGGTCACCCAGCAGCCTTCGGTGCCCCCTCCCCAGTGTGTGCTCAGGGCTGGCTGAGCTCCAGCGGGTTCCAGGGCTGCACCGCTGCATGTATGACGTGTTGTTTCCAAAATGTGGACTGGAGTCCCACCTCCCATGGCTGTGAGAAGCCTGCCCGTCATGCCTGGCAAGGCAGAGAGTCAGCGGGAAAGAGGAAGAGGGCCAGAAGGATGGACGCAGTGGTCGAGCCCAGCAGAGACTGTACGGTCAGGTTGGGGAGGGGCCTGGGGTCACTGTGGTAGAAACAGACGGGTGATCTTCATTGTTAGGTTGTTAGGTTGTCAGGCCACCGTGTGCACGTGTCTAAACCCCCTCTGAGGGGTTGGATGGGAGGAGGGGCGCCCCTCGACCTGCTCACAGCCCACGGGGGTGGAACCAGGGGTGCTCTGTGAGCCATGAGTAGGGGGGCCATGATGATCAGAACCTCTCTGCTCTGGGATGTGTGTAAGCCCTGGGGGGCTGGGGGAGATGGGGTGCAGTTGTGAGAAGCCCATGTCCTAGTGACCAAGGACAGACATCTTGAGGCCCAGTCCCCACTGGAGTGACCCCAGGGACAGTGGTCCTGGACATGGCTTCCCACGCTCCCCTACTCTAAGGACCCCTGAATTTTAAAACTAGAAGAGACCTTGCCCAAGGCCAGGTGGAGGGGGATGCCCCGACCCGGTAGGGGCTCAGCTGGTTCCAGGTAACACTGTGAAGCGTCCACTCCCGAAGATTTGGAGGAACTCCCAAAAAGGGACCTGTGGTGGTGGTGAGGGGTGCCTGAGACAACAGCCCCTGGGAGAACCCTCACTGCCCTCTGTGCCTGTTCCCCTGAAGAAATCAGAGACTGACAGAGACAATGAGTTTAATAGGAAGTTAGTTCTCCCTGGAGAGGCTGGGAACATATGGGGAAGGGGCAGCCTCTGCTGGGGGTCCAGGGTCTGTGCTCCCCCACCCCGCCCCAGCCACCCCCTTGTGGTGCATGGACTCTTTGACCAGCTCTGCACGTGGCCTGGACCAGGTCTCATGTGACTCCTCGGCCTGTGTGTGGACGTGACTGAGGACAGAGACCTCCGGCCCTGCTGCAGAGCTGCGTGGGGGGCTGCCCGAGGACAGTGGCCCCGTCAGGTATTCTGAAGGTGGTGGGGGTCCCTGGCTCCCACATCTCACACTCTTGTGGTCTAGGTTACCTCCCCATCAAGCAGGGTCACCACAGGGTCTAGGGGTCAAGTGAGGGGTCTGACCAGGAGTCAGAGATACTGCCCTAACCTCACACCTCTCACAGTGGGGGTCCAGGACCCCTTGAATGTGATGTTGGGAGGGGCCTGGATGGCTGCATGGACATGGGGTGTGCTGCACCCCCTCAGGTTCCTGTCTGCAGTTTAGTGTTCATGGCAGGTGTCCTCTGTCCCTTGGTGAGCTTCTGTCCTCTCCACTCTTTGAAGACCACAACCCTGAGGTCTCTTCTCCTGAACCATCACAGGCACAGCAGGGATCCCTCTAGGGTGGTGGCCAGGCCCCCCTTTCCCTAGAAGTCCAGTTGGGGTGAGGGAGGGAATTTGTCTCTGCTGGAGAGGGGAGTCATCTGCCCTCCAGGAACCCTCACCCTGCTGCGGGAAAGGCCAGCAGCCCCGACATGCCCACTGGCCCGTGGTCCTGGGAGGTGTCTGTCCGCTGTAACGGCTGCGAGCTGTGTTTGGTAGTGGGAGGCATCTTTAGCAGCAGGGGCTGTACCACTGACCCCAGCAGGGAAGGCAGGAGGATGAGTCGGCCCCTTGCCCCTGGAGCCCTCCCCTCAAGGCCAGGGCAGCCTTTCCCCA